GACCTTGTACCCCAGACCAGCCTATGAGCGCAGAGCCTCAGCATGTACTTAAGTTAAAACTACAGCTAGCTACTTACTAGGGTACTGGTCCTGGGCACACCAAGGAGTGAACTCCCCGTGAAAGTTAGGCAGGATACGATTCAAGCTCTGGATATGACGAACAAGGGATTATTCCCCTGCTGACCATGATAACCCCCTGCGCTCAATTCTGCCGTGATTTATCCGATGCGCCTGTTCCCTAACGTAGTGTTCTTATCCAAGTTCGTCCACAGGCAAGCATCCAATCTGTTCCTCTGCCCCCGCAGCACATCGAGCTAGACCTAACGTACACACCATGCTGAGGTTGACTATGGCCCTTTTATAACCTAGTGGATCTCCTGAGGGAGTTAGAGAACATTCCACAACGCCCCCTCTAGCTAGCAGGTGGTCAAATCTTACCTGTATCCGGTGACAGCGCATTGTCCTCCCCTTCTTATTATAGTTCCCAAGCTTATTTCATGTCCCTACTCCAGCTCACGAGTTTGTAGGGGATCATATGGCAACGGACAAGTGTAAGAACCCAACAGCCAATAGTGAATATCTCCCACACCTCACGATACCCATACTAGTCTACAGACACATATAACCAACCTAAAAAGAGAAGAAAATTCAGCAACTGGGTGCACCATGTTATACATCGAATCCGGCCCCCTCAGACAGACGATTTTAGGGCGTAAGATACGTCCAACCACTAACTACTATAATCTACCCAAATGCCCAAATCTTAAGGGAGAAGGGAGCTCATATATCATGAAAAAGAGCCCTCCCTATACAAATACTGTACATTTAATTTTAGAGTCCCAGGATGACAACATGCGAGTTGAGGAAATGGACAGTGAAAAAGGAGCCATTTGAGCGCGCGGGAAAATGTAAATTGTTATTAATAGCTAAGGCTTTGTCTACGACCTTATACTACAGCAGAAGAAGCTCCACACACAAAATGTATAGACCCACAATGACATCGCATGTGTGTGGCGACGATGTATACAGCAATAGCACGTCCTTCTACATAAAATACATATCTCCGTAGAAATGAACTGACCCTGATAGCCCACACCTTATCTTACTGGCAGATGACCTAGAGCTTAGCAAATAATGGGCTCCCATTTGAAATCGCAATAAGATAGCTGCGATGTGATACAGAAGCGTTTTCTCTTCCTGAACATAATGCCTGGCCTCTCCAGACACTAGGGTAATAGAAGGCGACTATACCCCAAGGCAGTACGTTTGCTAGACGAGCAAGCATATCAGCGTCAATGGTACTGCCAAACAGACAGTCTCAACAAGCAAAGAAGCATTGAGACGAGAGATTGAAATCCATTCTCGAGTGTACAAGCCAAGACCACAACAAGCAACGTCCATCCAATCACCCCAACCCAGCTGTAGTGG